TGGTCAATGACATGAGACAAAGTATATGTGAACTGCTGTATGAAAAGTGAATTTACTCTGTAAATCTTCACCCAAATCCTAATTAAAAAAAAAAAAGATATACACAGATGGTATTAGCAGCAAAAATAATCAAATTAACAGTTGAAACCACTGTTTTACATAGTATGTTTTAGAGAAAAACAGGAACCAGAGCATAATTAAAGTGTGTATGAGGTGAAGTGAATTTAGGTCATGATGGTTTGAACAAGGTTAAACAGGTTTCTTTACTTCTTTCTCAGAGGCTTCAATGTGATAATGTGCACTGTGAATTCCAAAAGAGGTATATAGCATGCAGTTTGTCCCAAACTTATTTAAGTCAGAGGACTTACAAAGAGGGTCACAAATTAGGAAACACTATTGTAGAATGATGGTACAAGCCTAATCAGGTTTTTCCTATATGTGTATTTTATGTTCATATCCCTGTTTGGAGAAGGCAATTATGCTTCTTATTTAAAATATCCCCACCAAGAATGTAAAAGAGAATCTAAATTGTTAGTAAATTTTGACATATCAAAGAAAAATTAATATTGCTCTTCAGACTTATAACTTTTGAGTTTTATTATATAGATCTAGTACCTAAAAGAGTTGAGCTCACCTTCTAAGAGTGATCAACTACTAAACTCTCTGGGGTAAATTCAACCAAATGTGAGTCATTTCTTTGGTGTCAAGAGTTTTAGAATTTAGTCTTGAACTCTCACACTTAACAATGGTGCTACACTATATGTATCACATGCCATCTCAAAAGCTCAGTTTCTGTAACTTATATAGTAAAATGCTGGACTACATTATCTTTATGATTTTTTCTGCTCTAAATATGCTATATTCCACATCATGATATTAAGCATTTACTAACAAAAGTAAAAGAATATTTTAGCAAGAGAAAGCAGGAGAAACAAGAGACCAGGATACAAACCCAAAACACATCCCTGAGAAAGACGCAGCATTGGAACTCCCTGATAAGGAATTCAAAAGAATTATATTTAGGCATCTTCAACAAATTGAGAGGCAGATCAAGGAAAACACTGACAAAATTGAGGAAAACACAGAGAAAACCCTACAACAATTTCAAAAGACAATACAAGAACAAAATGACAAAATAAATGAAAAATTATAAATGATATAAAATCTACATACAAAAATCCAGAAGATTAAAACTAAATTTTCAGAAATAGATAAGACACTGAATGGGCAAAGGAGAATTGAATCAATGGAAGACAGAATTAGTGAGATTGAAGGCAAATACCTGAATACTTCTTTGGAAAAGGATCAATCAGAAAAAAGATAAAAACAAAATGAAGAAAGCCCAAGGATCATGTGGGATACCATCAAAAGGAATAACCTACGTGTAATCAGAATTCCAGAGCAGGAAGAGACAAATAAAACCACAGAGAAAATTGTCCAAGAATTGTTGGAAGAGAATTTTCTTGGTATGACGAAAGATAAGAATATATTTATTCAGGAAGTCCAACGAACCCTAAAAAGGACAGACCCCAAAAGAAAATCACCAAGACATATCATCATCAAACTCACCAAAACTAAAGACAAAGAAAGAATCATGAAAGCGGCACAGGAAAAACAAAAAGTTACCTACAAGGGGCAACCAATAAGACTAAGCTCGGATTTCTCAGCAGAAACCATGCAGACAAGGAGATAATGGGATGGTATATATAAAACCCTGAAAGACAAAAATTTCCAATCAAGAATTATGTACCCAGCAAAATCATCCCTCAAATATGATGGTGAAATTAGGACATTTCCAGATAAGCAGAAATTAAGGGAATTTATTAAAACCATACCAACCTTATAAGAGATGTTAAAGGGAGTCCTTTGGACAGAGAAGCAACAACAGCAAACAACAACTGACTATTAACACACATGGTAACATAAGCCAGAAACCAACCCAGTTATGGAAGTATCCAAAGTAAATAAGCCTATGAGATTGTAAACAGGGAACCAGCGACATCATTTGACAAATGAGGACAACTACAAACCAAAAAGAGGGAAAACTCTGTGTTGTTACAGAACTTCTAGATGGTAGGGAAGTCAAGACAACTACAAGATAGAATGGACTGTTCTAAACTTGGGAAGAAA